CATTTAAATAAATAAAACAACTTAGTGTCAGGCAGAAACAATTCCCTCCAACCCATGCCCTTGACTTTTTTTTTTCCTTCTGGACATAAAGTCAAGAGAAGAAAATGGACTACTTTATATTTGAATAGAACTTTGTAACTTACAAACCACCCAGATATCTTTGATCTCATCTGAGCCTAACAACCCAATGAGACCTGCTCCCTTCCCTCATTAAGTTATTCCTACCACATAGGACTGTGAGCACACACTAAGTACCAACTACTAGATCGAATGTTCGTCTTCTCAAAATTCATATGTTGAAATTTATACCCAAGACGATAGTATCAGGAGATGGGGTCTTTGGGAGGTGATTAGGTCATGAGGACAAAGCTCTTATGAATGGGATTAGTGTCCTTATAAAGAGGTGGGAGAGATCCCTCCCTTCTGCCATGTGAGATTATAGTGAAATGGAACTGTCTACAAACCAGAAAGTAGGCCCTCATTGAACACTGAATCTGGCAGTGCCTTAATCTTAGACTTCTCAGTCTGCAGAACTACAAGAAATAAAATTCTGTTATTTATAAGCTATCCAGTTTATGGTATTTTATTTTAGCAGGCCTCATAGACTAAGACACCATTAAATATAACAAATATTATTTTATCCATTTTTTGAGTGAGACTCAGAGATTGAACAGCTGATTGCAGGCAACTAGGCCTCTAGGGATTTAGAACAAGCTGTGAAGGTAGAAAGTTCAGTGAACGGCCGGGCTCAGTGGCTCAGCCTATAATCCCAGCACTGGGAGGCTGAGGCGAGTGGATTGCCCGAGCCTGTACGTCTGAGACCAGCCTAAGCAACTTGGCAAGACCTCATCTCTACAATCAAAAATTAGCTGGGCATGGTAGTACACCCCTGCAGTTCCAGCTACTTGGAAGGCTGAGACAGAAGGATTGCTGGAGCTCAGCGGGTTGAGGCTGTTGTGGCCGGGAGTGTGCCACTGCGCTCCAGCCTGGGCTATGGAGTGAGACTCCAAAAAAAAAGAAAAAAAAAGAAAGCCCAGTGGTGGTAGGATTCATTCTACAACCACGTCAATACAGACCCTAATGGCTTTTCAAAATTTTGCAACTATACATACATTTCCATGTAGGTATAGGCACAGATAGGAAGGCAGCCTGAAGTTCCGGTCCTGTTCTCAGTTCTCTGCTGGCCACACACTCAGACCTTTGTGTCCCCTTCTCCATAATGAAAGCAGACTCACTTTTTTTGTTGCACCAAGTGAACCTCAAGCTTTCAGACAAAAGGCCCTATTACAAGTACAAAATATCATTTAATTACACTGCTGCTCCAGTTATCTGCTTCCCAGCTCCCAACTCCCACTGGGCAGATTCTGAAACTGTATAGGAGATTAAGTCAAGAGTGGAGAACAGGAGAGACATTCTCTCCTTGAATTTTCTTAAATGGAAGAGGGAGGAAAAAATGAGAAGAAAGGCCTATTTTCCAAGGAGGAGGCGGGGGCAATGATCTTTCCATTAGGCAGGCGTGCATAAGAACCTATAGATTATTTAACACCGGGGGTGGCTATGGAGTGAAATAAAGGAATCTTTGTGTAGTGCCAGCCACAGCTCCCTCACGCATTCCCCAGTCAGGCATTTCACCCAACTCTTTAAATCATCAAGCTCTAATGCACCCCATCTGTGCACTGACTGGAGCCAATGAAATTGAAGCCTGTGCTGACTTTGGCCTGGACTTATGAATGAGCCTTTCTGCCCCAAAAGGGACAGGAAGGAGGACAGGAGGCCAACAAAGTATTTTTTCGCCCATTTCTTGTCTTCTCAAGGCTCAAGATCCATCCATTCATTTATTTGATCATTTATTGAGCTCTAGCCATGGGTCAAGTTCTGACACCGAGACACATAGCTGACAGGTAATGATCCAAGGACATGTCAGAGCTCAGGAGAGAAAAGAAGGTGGCGAAGAAGGAGAGATGCTCTTGGCAAAGGCACAGAGGACTGAAATACCCCCACCTGCATGTTCAAGGTATGTGGCTTACTTCTGAGTAGCTGAAACATAGTGAGAAACTGGCAGGAGACCTAGCTCAAAAGGTAGTCTGAACTGGGTGTGGTGGTTTATGCCTGTAATCCCAGCACTTTGGGAGGCGAGAGCCCAGGGGTTCGGGACCAGCCTGGGCAACTTGGCAAGACCTCATCACTACAATAAATCGAAAAATTAGTTGGGTATGGTGGTACGTGCATGTAATTCCAGTTACTTGGAAGGCTGAGGCAGAAGGATTGCCTGAGTCCAGCAGGGCCAAGGCTGAAGTGGCCATGAGTGTGCCACTGCACTCCAGCCTGGACAACAGAGTGAGACTCCTACTCGCAATTACTCTCTTTTCTGAACCTCTGATTTGAGAGCTTGAATAACTTTTTGGACTGTCAGCTTCTCTATCTGTATAAAATATGACACACATCACCTCCCTTAAAGATTTACTGGGCCGGGCTCGGTGACTCAGCCTGTAATCCCGTGCCTTTAGGAAGCTGAGGTGAGTGGATTGCCTGAGCCCACAGGTTCAAGACCCGCCTGGGCAACTTGGCAAGACCTCATCTCTACAATAAATCAAAAACTTAGCCGGGCCTGGTAGCGTGCACCTGTAGTTCTAGCTACTTGGAAGGCTGAGGCGGAAGGATGGCCGGAGCCCAGCAGGTCAAGGCTGTGGTGGCCGGGAGCAGCCACTGCACTCCAGTCTGGGTGACAGAGTGAGACTCCAACTCAAAAAAAAAAAAAAAATTTATTGGCTGGGTGCAGTGGTTCACACCTATAATCCCAGCACCTCGGAAGGCTGAGGTGAGAGGATTACCTGAGATCACAGGTGCGAGACCAACCCAGGCAACTTGGCAAGACTTCATCTCTACAACAAATCAAAAAAATTGATTGGCATGTGCCTGTAGTTCTAGCTACTTGGAAGGCTAAGGTGGAAGCTGAGGTCGAGGCTGCGGTGGCTGTGAGCATGCCACTGCACTCTAGCCTGGCCAACAGAGTGAGTCTCCAACATACACACAAAAAGATTTCTTATGAGAGTTAAGTGAGATAACATTTATAAAGTGTCAAGTAGTCATTTTTAGTACATATAGGGTGCTAAAATACACTTTATTGGTACCACAATTTCTTACGATACATAGCAATTCTTTCTTATATTAAATGATGCCTTGGCTTCCCCATTAGATACAGGCAAGCACCTTCTCTGCAGATTTCCAAAGCCAGGACAACTCAGGATTCCCCTCCAACTTTGTAGGCCACTTCCAGTGCCAGGGGACTGAGTCCTTGCTTTGCTCAGAGGCATAGCCTCCCCACATCCAAACTTCCAGACTCAAGGGGTTCTCCAAAATTCAAAGGGAATCTGAGACAAGATGGTAGGTGACAGAGAAGGAAGCAAAAGGATGGCTACAACAGAAGCAGCAAGGAGGAGAGTAATGAGCAGACACGTAGAGAAGAGGCAGTGGGACAGAAAGCAAGTTCAGCCAGAGGATAGGACACTGAGGGCCCTGGGGTGCAAGTTCTCTGGTAAACCTAGATCCTGGAATAGGCCTAGAATGAGGGGTTCAGTCCTCAAGCCTGATCTGAGAATTCCCACTACCAGGGATGTGGCTGTTCGGGCAGTTCTCTTCACTTCCTGTGTCAAATCAGTCAACTGGACAGGGCTGTTCTAGAATCGCTGACTAGATCCCTTTATGGCTCTCTAGCTGGGGCTATCAAACCAGAGGCAAAGAAAGCAGCACAACCTTTTCCAGTAGCTCTTGCAAATAGATCAAGAACACTGATTTAAAAAAACAAGTAACAGTCAGGCATGGTGGCTCATGCCTGTAATCCCAGCAGTTTGGGACGCTGAGGCTGGAGGAGTGCTTGAGCCCGGGAGTTCAAGACCAGACTGGGCACAGAGGGAGACCTCAACTCTAAAAAAGAAAAAAAAAAAATCAGAAAGATTGTCAGGGCGTGGTGGTGCATGCATGTAGTCTCAGCTACTTGGGAGATTGAAGAGGAAGGATCGCCAGAGCCCAAAAAGTTAAGGACTTCAGCCTGGGGGACAGAGTAAGACTCCAATTCAAAACAAATAACAAAAAAACACAAAACTTCATCTGGGTCTGCACAAAGGTTGGCTTGTTTTTACTTTAATGGCATGAAGTCCAGGTTCTGGATGAAGATGCTTTTTAAGGGAAAATCTCCCATGATCTCTTTCTCTTTGTCATGCAGCCTTGTAAAACCTGTTTTTCTCCTCCCCTGGGAATCTGGGGCCAAGAGGGAAGCAGTTTCCCCGAGAATGCTGCCTGAAGGATCCAGTTCCTGGACTGCACAACTGGGACATTGGGTTTATTTATTTAATAACTCCACAGTCACAACTTTAGGAAGCAGCTACTACAGCTCCTCAGAAAAAAACAGGGTTCCAGTCTTTCTTCTGATCATGATCAAATGTTACGCCATAGTACCTCATGTGAAAGCCCTAAAGGCCCACAGGCCAGTGGGTCAGCTCTTTCACAAGCCACTTTTGGTCCTCCCCAAAGACCATCCATTCTAAGTAATTCTACCATCTCACAACCTTCCTGGGGGCGCTCTCATCTCAGCTAAGAAACCTCTCTAACAAGACACTGCCCTGCTGTCTTAGAATTCACTTTCCAAGCAGGCAGCACTCTTCATAGCGTTTATCTGCCAACCTAAACCAAGCAAACTGAGCACAAGGCTCCCATCAATCCTCAGCCCGCCCTTCTCTGGCCTGCAAGCTGGCAGCCCCCAAAGCCTCCAACAGGGATGACATCTAATTTCCAAAATAACAATTTAAACTACTACCCCGTTCCTCCAACTTGGAGTTATTTCTCAGTTGAATGAGACAGTCATGTGGGTCAGCCCTCCTCTGTAAAAAAGGTGGAGGACAAATATCCCAGTGTCTTTGGCAGTGCTTGCTAACCTCTGCAAGCGTAGGGGCAGTGAATGTCTTCCCCAGGGTAGTGAAGGAGGGCCTGCAGGAAACATGTACCTTGGAAATTAGTTCATCATGATTGGCCAAGTGAGCTCTGCAGTGAATGCAGCTGTAGGTCCGGTGGCAGGAGGGCAAATATGCCTGGAAAGTCTTGGATCTTGTCATCTTCACCATTGGCGCCGCTGAGCGTGGGGTGAACTCCGGGGCAGCCCACGAGGTACTCCCACAGGATGGGTCGCAAGGGAAACACCGGAAGACGCAGGTAAAGGCCGTGGTTTGGCAGGGGGTGGGTGTGGGGCAGGCTCCACACACTGGTGATGTCTTCAGAGGAAGGACCCTCAAGCAGAGGTCGAGGGCTGATTCTCAGCAGCCTACAACACCAAGAGAAGGGGACTATCATTAGCCCATGGAGCAGGGCCTTCTACAAAGCAAGTAGAATCCAACTGCCCACCCAGAGACAGGGCAACACCTACAGGACAGAAAGACCTGTTTCTCTTTTTCTTGTATTATGCCCAAAATGCACAATGAATAAGAAACCACTGGAAGGCCAGGTGCGGTGGTTCATGCCTAAAATCCCCACACTTTGAGAGGCTAAAGTGAGAGGACTGCCTGAGCCCACGGTTAAGACCAGCCTGGACAACTCAGTGAGACCTCATCTCTACGATAAATCAAAAAATTAGCCAGGCATGGTGGCACGTGCCTGTAGTTCCAGCTACTTGGAAGGCTGAGGCAGAAGGATTGCCTGAGCCCAGCAGGTTGAGGCTGCGGTGGCCGTCAGCGTACCACTGCACTCCTACCTGGACGACAGAGTGAGACACTTCAACTCAAAAAAAAAAAAAAAAAAAGAAAAGGAAGCCGGGCTCGGTGGCTCAGTCTGTAATCCCGCGCCTTTGGGAGGCTGAGGTGAGTGGATTGCCTGAGCCTGCGGGTTCGAGACCCCCCTGGGCAACTTGGTGAGACCTCATCTCTACAATAAATCAAAAATGAGCCGGGCGTGGTAGCATACACCTGTAGTTCCAGCTACTTGGAAGGCTGAGGCAGAAGGATCACCGGAGCCCAGCAGGTCAAGGCTGCGGTGGCCGGGAGCGGCCACTGCCCTCCAGTCTGGGTGCCAGAGTGGGACTCCAACTCAAAACAAAAAATAAATAAAGGAAAAGAAACCACTGGAGACTCCAGTCTTGCTGCTTTTCTAGAGTGGGAAGTTCAATATCAACTCAGTGCTTTCATTAGTTACCCATGTATCCTTCACAGGTACCCAGCACACTGACATCATCGTTCCCAGGCACCCTAGGTAAGGCCAACATTGAAGATGCGCTACCTACAGCTCCAAGGAAAGGACTCCTATGGGTCCCAACTCCTAAGCCAACCAAGGTAAGTGGGTAAAGGTGAGAGAAGTTCAGCCTCTAGAAGTTCACCACATCCAACAGGCACATGCAGATTTCTTATCCATTTACAGATGCTGAGAGTCCGACATTTGAAGTCACCACCTACAGAGGCAGCAAACCCCACAAAGAAGCCTTTACTTCTTTGCTTAGAGACTGAGCATGGGATACAAAGGATCAACCTCCCCAACAGTGGGATCCCTAATGGCTAGCCAGCTCTATTGGCAGAAGTAGTTCCCTTTACATTACCTTACTCAAAAGTAGATGCTTGATACTTTTTTTTTAACTGAATGAATGAAATCAATGATATTATCAGACTCCTGCATCTAAAATTCACTAACTAAATTTCACCAGATATTTCTCCTCAACCCTCAGACTTTCCATTACTCAACCCGCAGTACCAGACATCTCTCCTACAATAGCAGCTCTTGGTTGCTCCCAGGGCAACCAAATGAGCAGGAAGTCCAAGGGCAAAGCCACAGGTCTAAGACACTCTGCTTCTGCAGCTCACCTACCTGAGGCTTCAGCACCTGTCTATCCTCTGGGCTTCACTAACTGGGGGTGGTGTTTCCACTTGCCTACCTCCCAGGAAAGCAGGGAGTGTTAATTAAACCTGCGTCATGCTTTGAAGATAAAATTATTTAGAGAGACGGGGGAGGGAGACAAATAAAAGCAGATCTTCCTTGCCGGATTATGTCTGGGATCCATATGGGTGTTTAGAGAAAGTCTACAAATCATAAGCCTCTTTTTCTTCTAAACCTCACCGGAACCAAATCTTCCAAAGGGAAGTTGCCTTCCTCCTAGGCATCCTTCTCACCATAGCAATCACTGAGGCCACCACACTCCTGGGACTTTATACCTTCCTGAATGGCCAACACCACTGCCTGGACTAGGCTGAAGGACAACAATGGTCACCACTCCTTATCACACAGTCCCTTCTGCAGCTCTGAGCCAAAGAGGATTCACATGCTAGGTAACCATTTATATGCGAGATTTCTGTTGAAGGATTCAGACCTACAGGGACATACGCATGATGTCATCCCTGATCGTCTCCCGCCTCTATTTTTAAAGATGTGAAATCAGCCGGGCACGGTGGCTCATGCCTGCAATCCCAGCACTTTTGGAGGCGGAGGTGAGGATTGCCTGAGCACAGAGGTTCAAGACCAGCCTGGGCAACTCAGTGAGACCTTGTCTCAAAAAAAAAAAAAATTAGCTGGATATGGTGGCATGAGCCTGTAGTCCCAGCAGAAGAATCACCTGAGCACAGTAGGTTGAGGCTGTGGTGACTGTGAGCATGCCACTGCACTTCAGCCTGGGCAACAGAGCGAGTCTCCAAATTAAAAAAAAAATTGTGAAATCAGGTTACGTTAAGTATTATAGAAATACTTGTAGGATACAGAAGTGAGAAATAATTCTCTCAGCATTGCCTCAGTTAGGCCTAACCATGATAGAAGATACACAAATCCACGGGAAGACACCTCTTATCAACAAGGGTACCTGAACAAAGCGTATTTGTATACCTAACCCTTAACTGTATACCACAATATCATAATAAAAAATATTGATTGTAAAAAAAAAAAAAGATACACAAATCCTTGGATCCAGTGCTCCTTCATCACATCCTGGGCATACTCTGGGTAGGAGGGAGGTAAATGGACAAAATTGCCCACAGCAGACCAGTGCTGTTGGGTGTCGATGTGTTACAGGTAGAAAGAGCCAACCAAGCACCACACATGGCGTTTTCTGAAATACCTTCAACCTTTCCAAGCCTCCTGTTCCATTCTCAGGAAGGACAGCACTTCTAGGAAAGGAAGGGGTAGTGAGTCAGGGAAAGGAACAGGAAAGACAGGCAGCCCAGGTAGGGGAGAGTGAGCAGCAGGCTTCCCCAGACCAAACACTTCCCAAGTCCAAAGCCTCAGCTGCCCGCTGGGGAGCACAGAAACACTAGGTCCATCCGTCTTATACAAACACTGAGGGAAGAAAAGGAAACAACGACCCTGGCTGCCCATGTGGGCTTAGAGAGCAGCTACAGAGACTGTTTTCTTACACATGCAGACAGTTTCTACATTATGCGTTTCCCCAGAGTAGAATTATTTCTTCTCTCACTTCTCTTCCGTAAGGAAACCCCAAAAAAGTTAACAGGCAAGGTTTCTGGTTATGCTTAGCTTCAAATCTGAATCTCGAAACTTATTCATAGCTACCTTCTACAGATTAAGCGTTTCCAGTCTGTGTTAAAAGGGACTGTGTCACATACAGACATACCCGTGCACATTCATTCCTCACCATAGCTCTGAACCTAAAAGGACAAAAGAAAAATCCACCATGCAAGCAATGGCCCAGGCTGTCTGATGCTAGAAAGACCCTGGAAGGCCTAGACAACAGGCATTAGACTTTGCTACGACAGTTACTCTGCTCCTCTCGCTCTTAAATGTGAATTCACAGGCATCCTAAACAGGGACACCTTCCCTGAGAAGAAAGGAAAGAAAAAGTAGCTTGCTGAAATATGAATCTTGTTCAACTAGCACAGGATAAACTAGAAGGAATGAAGGGGTAAATGAAAAGCAAAGAGAAGCAGGATCAAGAGAGGCCTGTGGGGCTAAGAAAGGAAGAGGGCAGGCTAAGCAAGAGAAAAGGCAACATCTGTACTGTCGTCTTCCCTTTTAAGTGAAAATTTACAAAGCTGCTTCCTTGAGCTGATTCTTAGGAAGAAAAATAGGTGGATTTTTTTTTTTAAAGAAAGTAAGAGCCCGGGCTCGGTGGCTCAGCCTGTAATCCCGCGCCTTTGGGAGGCTGAGGTGAGTGGATTGCCTGAGCCCGCGGGTTCGAGACCCGCCTGGGCAGTGAGACCTCATCTCTACAATAAATCAAAAAATTAGCTGGGCGTGGTGGCGCGCCTGTAGTTCCAGCTACTTGGAAGGCTGAGGCGGAAGGATCGCCGGAGCCCAGCGGGTCGAGGCTGCGGTGGCCGGGAGCGGCCACTGCACTCCAGTCTGGGCGACAGAGTGAGACTCCAACTCAAAAAAAAAAAAAAAAAAAAGAAAGGAAGTAAGAGCCTGAGGATGAACTCACCATCTTAATTTGGGGGCTTCAGCCCCTGTTGGTGGGACCACAGGGTCTATGGGGCCTCATGACTCCAGCTTATTGAACATATTGTGGAGCCCAAATTGATTTCCAACAATAATCAAATGAGCTCGACACTTAAAAGCCTCAGGGCACATGTACAAATTAAACATGATTTTAAGTGAACTAATAATCCATCACGGTGGAAATTAAAGGAAGACTTGCTACCACCCCTAGCTGGCTCATGCTGATCAGCATGGAAAGAAAAAATGTGAAATATTATGATTAAAAACAAAGATCTTCAGTACACCACCAAGAGCCAAGTGCACATGGAGTGCATGCCAATAGTAGGCCTGCCTGACAGAAAGGCCTCTTCCACAAGGAGTCATAATCGCAGCTGGAACTCAAAAAGGAACCCTCTGAGTGTCACCTGGATGAGGGGAAGGAGGTACAGTGCTTTAGTTAAGCCAAGCCATGAAGGAACTTAAGGAATGATGTAGAAACAAGGTTGGACCACCACACAGTCATAGAAACCAACCCATGAAGGCGGAACTACAGGAAGTTACTCTCCAGACAGAGACCAGGACTGTCCCAAAGGTATGCCTCTGTGTGGGTGTTTTTGGGGGGTATTTTGGAAAGCAGGCAAAGACTAGGAAAAAAGTGGGCTCTGGAATCACACAAACCAGTTCTATTACTTTCTAGATGCATGACTTTCAGCAAATTATTCAACCATCTGACCCCTCAGCCCCCCCAACTCTAAGAAGACAAAGGGTTTCAGGTATTAGACGAAATGATTTAAGTGTTTACAGAGCTGGCACGCAATACACACCAAAATTGTAGGTAGCTATTATTGTAGTGTCCAATGAAAAGAAACAAAACAGATGCTTCTGCTTAAAAAAAAAAAGTTTGGAGTCCTTTGAGCAC